TGCCAAAAATTTCAGCCCCAAGGCATTGCGGTCGACGCAAGAGAAACTCTTCTTGGTCGTGCAGCCCAAGGAACATTCAATTTCGTCATGAATAAGTATGTTTTGGCATTTAAGTGCCACCTGGTATTTCCATTACTCCAAATTTTGCAGCTCTGTTAACTCAGATTGTTGTTTGATGACTACTTATAGAGCTCCGTGGATGGTCGAGACGAATCCAAAAGAGATAGGTTTCGGAATATACGACTATTGAAATTAGTTTTATCACAAGGCTCAACCGGAGCATGTTCAGCAAACGATTACAACTAGTCGAGCCGAACAAGGACATGGAATTCTGAACTCAAGCCCACAAAAGCGCCAACTCACACGCACCTGAAGAGATTCAAATACCACTAGGCTTAGATTTCATGTACAATAATGCTTATGTCTATTGGGTATTCTACTGTCCGGTATGTCTATTGTTCATATCTAAATTCCACCCATCTTGCATTTCCATTAAAAGTAATTGTAGTCCCTCTTGGTAATGGCTTACAGAGGTCGATGGTCACTCTCAGTCTGATTTGGACTCGGTTCAATGTCTCCTTCCTCAATAGCTATTCAATTTTTCTCGACTTCCGGTAGATCAAATTTCTGAAATTCCTTAAGTAAATCCAAATTCTTTGAGGGATTCATATATCAACAGTTGAAAGAACTAATCCAGAGGCGCGCAAGATGACCGAATAGAAGAAATCATAGAAAGCCCTAAAAACAACACCAGTGACCAAGACAGCAGGAAAAAACTCACAAGGAAAACTCAGAACAAAGGTTTTGGGAGAAATAAAAAGAAAAGAAGATAGAAGAGAAAACAGAACCCAACTTCAAAAGCTCTAGCAACCTAAAGGACCTTCTTGAGAGAGAGAGAGAGAAACAAACGCACTTCATCCTGGAGACTCCTTACCAATAGAATCAGATTCAATTCAAAATATGACTAATTAATTTATCATATATAACAAATGATAATATATATCTATAAAGGGTGCTTTATTTATTTAAGACATTGAAATTGAGTGGCGGGTTTGGTTGAAGCACAATCATAAGTATCAAATTCGACGTAAGGTAGTGATACAGCTCATAATATCAAGTCCTCTTTGCCCTTTGGTTGTCAGCATTCTTGTAGGGATTTAATGAATCCCACCACTCTTTGTAGTTTGAAGCTGCGTGATTCCACCATTGCCCTCCTTAAGAAGAAGACCCAATTCCGACGGCGCCGCCGCCACTAACAAATGTGCTCGGAGGTTCTCCTAGTG